ATTCAGTTCCCCGTCAGGGTCTGTAGGGCCCACAAGATAAGAACGGTTTTTATATTTTTTAATGGTTATTTAAATACCAACATAATAGTCTCGACTTTGCTTGTTGGCCAATAAAGTGTGTAATATTTATGATCCTTTAAAAATATCTGCCAACTCCTGTAACTAAGGCATGAAAAAAATCCCAAGACAGCAATTAAAAATCCCAGCTAATGTTTGCTGAGAGCTTACTGTGTATGCTCCACTCTGCACACATTATTTCATCTCCACAAAAAGGCTATAAAGGAGATATTATCCCCTCTTTACAGAGGAGGAAACTGGGTCATAGAGATAGTAACTAGCCCGGAGTCTCACAGCCACTGAGGGTAGAGCCTGACCCCAAAGCTGCTTCTCCATCACCAACTGAGATGCTTGCTCAATTCCCTTTGGAGGAAACACATGAGCGAGCTTTCAGCACAGGACATGTCTGAGAAACAAGCTCTTATCTGGCTGGAAAAAAGGGAGACAGAGGCAAAAAATAGGTCAAATCATGGTGGGCTCTGAATGGCAGGCAAGGAGCTATTCTGCAACCAGTGCCTGGTAAGTTCACTGTAATACTCCTCATTCAGTAGCAAAATACTGAAAACAACCTAAATGTCCATCACCTAGAATTCAAATAAATTATGGGACATCCATTCAATAGAACACGATGCAACTTTTTAAAAAGTGAGTATCTTCTTTACTGTATCTGTCAGCTACTGCTGTGTAACAAACCACCACAAACTCCCAGTGGCACACAGGAAGCACTTATTTCTTAGTTGTCTTCAGATCAGCTGGGCTCAGCTGGTAGCTCCAGGCTGCAGACTGGGCCCGTATCTGCTTCACTCATCTCCTAGGCTCCTTGGACCAGTGGGCTAGATGTGTGTATTCTTCTCATGAAGATGGCAGGGCACAAGGAGAAAGTGGAAACGATCAAAGTCTCTTAAGCACTCCGCCCAGAACTGCACTTTTCCAGTCCACCTTATTCTATTTGCCTCCAAAGAACATGGACAGCCCACAATCAAGGAGCTTTCAACTTTTACAAAGGAAGCTGGAAAGTCATATGGCAAAGACTGTAGATTTATGGAGATGTGAAAACTACACCAGTAATTCAACCACTGCATATGCTGTTAAAGAACAATACCCAAGATGTATTTTGGAGACTTGCCACAGATGACACTAGTCCTTAGTCATGGTGACAGCCACGTACATAATATCTCCCTTAAACTAAGGTTCTCTCAGGGTAAGTCCAAAACAGGAGAGAAGGGAGCAGGGCACCAACTGTACAAGAATGACACAGCCATTGTTGTTGTTCAGTTGCTAAGTCACGCCCAACTGTTTGTGAGCCCATGAATTGCAACACACCAGGTTCCTTTGCCCTCCACTGTCCCCCAGATTTTGATCAAATTCACGTCCATTGAGTCGATGATGCTATCTAACCATCTCACTCTCTGCTGCCCTCTTCTCCTTTTGCCTTCAATCTTGCCCAGCACCAGGGTCTTTTCCAATGAGTCAGCTCTTCCCATCAGGTGGCCAAAGTACTGGAGCTTCAGCGTCAATTCCTCCAATGACTATTCAGGGTCAATTTCCTTTAGGATTGAGAGGTTTGACCTCCTTGCAGTAGAAGGGACTCGCCGACAAAAACTGGTTAGAGCCAACTAGGTCCAAGATGGCGGAAGATTCGACTTCCAGGGGACCTTGAAACTCATCATGCGCTCCCTGTAATTTGTTGTTGTTGTTTAGTTGCTAAGTTGTGTCTGACCTTTTGAGACCCCATGGACTGCCACCCACCAGGCTCCTCTGTACATGGAATTCTCCAGCCAACAATATTGGAATGGGTAGCCTTTCCCTTCTCCAGGAGATCTTCCCGCCCCAAGGATTGAACTCACATCTCCTACATTAGCAGGCAGATTCTTTACCACTGAGCCACCAGGAAAGCCTGTCCCTGTAATATATTAGTTGCTAAATGACACACCCCAGGGGCCATGACAGTTCTGAGGCAGACCATAAATCGCCAAAAAGTGGGGGCTGCCCCAATTCCTGGAAACCTCCGCCCCTTCTCCAAAACAGTTGGAATAATCCTCCCACTCATTAGCTTATGAAATTACCCATGCCATAAAAACTAACCACCCCATATTTTGGGGCTTCTCGCCTTCTGAGATGGCCCACACTCTGTCTGTGGAGTGTGTTCCTCCCAAAGCCCTTCTCACTTCTCGAGACAGACCACATTCTGTCTCTGAAATGTGTATCTCTAAATAAATCTACTTCTTACCTATCACTGTGTCTCTCACTTAATTCTTTCTGTGAGGAGACATAAAGAACCTGAGCTTCATTAAGCCCTGAGACAGGACCTGAAGACAGTGGTTCAAGTCCCGATCTGGGTTGTGTGGTTTCAAATCCACATCTGACCCGAGCCCTTTGATACCATCCACTCACATAGCCCAGTGTCTTTAATATCTGTTCTGCCCACCACCCTGGAAATGAAGCAAGCGCCATCTGTTCCACCTGCCACCTTGGACATGATGTAGATGACAACCATCCTCCCCACCCCGTCATTCTGCCACATCTCCAGCAAGGCCCCAGCACGACTGGAGGAGATGCTGAGAGAATGATGGACGAGGGGTCCTGAGCCTGCCCAGCTGCCCATCTGAGGCCCTGTTCTGCCCAGCTCCACCTCGAGGTGGAGCTCCTGGTCCAGACCCATGTTCCCAAAGGCTGTGCCACCTGCCTCCTGCACACGCTCTCCCCTCATCACCATCTCTCTCCCTCCGGCATCTGCACATCAGGGCCCCTGCAGCTTCTCTTCCCTCCAGGGTTTTCCTCAATTTCTCAATTTCATTTTAATAGAAGAGCATTATGAATAAAGTCCACAGGCCCAAATCACATCTAGGACACTCAGTGAATCAGAGCCAGAACGACTGCCTTTGAGAACGGGGTCCCAGCTGTCCAGACAGGGCTCCAAGGTTAAGGCCAGGGGAACAATCCTCAGTGGTCCAGAGTGGGAGACGGGGGGTGGGCATGTGGCAGAACAGGAGGAGTTCAGACTTCAGTGTGTGTGTGAGTGTGTACGCATGTGTGTGTGTGTGTGTGTGTGTGTATGAACATGCATTTGCATACAGAAATGGGCCTTGAAAAGTCTTTGTGATAAATAACAAAGCAAGATTTTTTAAAAATTCTGAGTGATCTTTCTAGACACATGGGCTTACTATATAGCATATGGAACTATATTCAGCATCATGTAATAAATCATAATGGCAAAGAATATGAAAAAGAATATATATGTGTGTATGTGTTTGTATATATAAAATTACTTTGCTGTACATGATAAACCAAACTGACATAGCAAATCAGTTATACCTCAATTCAATAAAATGAAAAGGAAAAATCTTTGTGAAAATGCCTTTCGAAATTATAACAACTTCCAACTCTGGTAATGAAGAAACAAGATAATTCAAACCAGCCCTTGTGCTAAAGCTACTAAAAAACAAATCTGGAAAAATATTTTTTAAAATACTTCTGAAAGCATCAAAGAATGAACAAGACAAGAAAGAACTCTCTGGTCCCATATCCGACAGAACCTAGAGAGGGAAGCCCAGGCCAGAAGCCCCTCTAGCCCCGTGGCTTGTATTCTGGAGAAGCAGCTGGTGTTTTATCGGCCTGTTGGGGCCAAGGGATAAAAAGTCATGCTGAGGCGCACTCAACGTGGGAGTCTCATTACCACCCACTGAGGGGAAACCCCCAAAGTACTCCACTCTCAGGACAAACCCACAGAAACACAGCCCTAGCACCCCTGGGTCCTCCACACACCCTCCCGATATGCCGGGTCCTCTCAAGGGCAGTGAGCCCAGGCCTCACCCACCCACTTTACGACAGAATAGAATTCCCATATATTAAGTGGTTGCAGAAGTTCACTGTTGTGGAACTTCTGCTTTTATTTTAGGATGTGCTGTTAGTCCTATCTATGATTTCTCTGATAGCAAATTCTTGGTTGGAAACTCAACCTTAGATCATCACAATGTGCCTAAGGGAATATACAATTCCCTTTGTGACAATCAACTCTGTTACACAGTTTATGAGCTCACATGGCAGCTGAAATCAGATCCTGCCTCTATAAATGCAAATTTGTGAAATGCTCTATATATGTCAAGCAGCTGTGCTGCTAAGCAGAATGCCTAGAATCAGAAAATCTGGAGTCCAAACCCTTGTTTTACAAACTGAAGGCCGCACAACGGCAGGCAAATGACCCATATTACTCAGTCTCACTTTCCTCACCTGTGATATGATGATGGTAATAATAACAATAATAATAAGACTATCCACAATACTCAGAGGGACATCAGGAGACGTGAAGTAAGAGGCCCAGTACACAGCAACAACTGGGGGCTTAAGTGCTTAATACATGTTAGAAATGTCTTCAGAGATACCACAGAATAACAGATACAATAATAGTAAGAGTAATAGTTAATAATAATAATATTAGCTGTAAGTAGTCAGTCAGAGCTTGTCCATGAGTCTAGAACTAATGGCTTTGACTATCCTAAGGTAAGTAATTGAAGGACTAATATTTTTACATGACTGTAAAATGCCAGGCCTAGCATCACATGCTTTGGGAGTAAAAGACTTGACCTCTGACCCTGGAGGCTCTGGGTTTTGTCGGGCGATAAGAAATGCACACACAAGGCTGTGGGCCCACAGGAAAGGAAATGAGGTTGTCTTCGAGGGGGAGGGAGTGATGGAAGGGCAGGGAAGGCAACCAAGAGCTCCAGGAAATTCAGATATGACCTTAGTCAAGCCGACAGGGGAAGTACGACTGTGGGTTACCATATGCACAGAAGAGAAAGGATGTGCATGCTTTCATTCCTCCCCCGACGGAGGGTTCAGAAGAGGCAGAGACCCCAGGCCCACCCCCTCCACTCAGAACTCAGCTACTGTGTCCGGGCCGGGGACACAGCTGGGGCAGGAGGCGCATCAGGGACCTCACTCACCCTCTCGGACAGCATCATGGGCCAGGGGGATGCCGTGATCATCACTGGCAGCCTTCTCAGAGCTCTTGGTTCTCACGCCTTTTCTGTTGATATTTTTACCTTAAAAAAAAAAAGAGAGAGAGAGAGAGAGAGAGATGCCTCTACTTCCCCATACGTCAGAGTCATCCCAGGATGGTGAGACTCAACCATCTTCTCCTGCAAAGCAACCGTCTCCACACTCTGCCTCCCCAGACCCTAGTGATGACTCCTTGAACCCTGAGAGGCTGGTGGTTACAGGAAAGGAAGTGTGTTACAGTGAATGCCCAGGGAAATAAACACGGAAACCAACAACGCACACCTGCAAGTGGCTAGTCTAAGGCTGAAAAATGTCCTGTGGGGGTACTTTTGGCCCTCCCTGGCACTCCCAGAGTGACACTACGTTTAAGTGATAAAATGGATAAATTGGAGCTGGAAGTCCAGGCCTCTGAGCCTGGAGCTAGATTTCCTACCATGCTGGGCTCCTCCCACCTAATTCTCTCCAAGGCCCCAGCTGAGTACCTGGCGGGCTCTCTCTGCTCACAAACACCAGCTTCTTTTCAGCCTTCAGATCATATTTTCTGTCCACCAGAACTCAGTATGTGTTCTTTCTCCTCTGCGGCATCCTTCCATTCACTCTCCACCTATTTCACTTCCTCTGATCTGGCTTACTCCTTGGAAGGAAAGTTATGACCAGCTTAGATAGCGTATTTAAAAGCAGAGACATTACTTTGCCAACAAAGGTCCATCTAGTTAAGGCTATGGTTTTTCCAGTGGTCATGTATGGATGTGAGAGTTGGACTGTGAAGAAAGCTGAGTGCTGAAAAGTTAATGCTTTTGAACTGTGGTGTTGAAGACTCTTGAGAGTCCCTTGGACTGCAAGGAGATCCAACCAGTCCATCCTAAAGGAAATCGGTCCTGGATGTTCATTGGAAGGACTGATGCTGAAGCTGAAACTCCAGTACTTTGGCCACCTCATGCGAAGAGTTGACTCATTGGAAAAGACCCTGATGCTGGGATGGATTGGGGGCAGGAGGAGAAGGGGATGACAGAGGATGAGATGGCTGGATGGCATCACCGACTCAATGGGCATGAGTCTGAGTAAACTCTGGGAGTTGGTGATGGACAGGGAGGCTGTGCTGCGTTCTGCAATTCATGGGGTCACAAAGAGTCAGACACGACTGAGCAACAGAACTGAACTGACTGATCTTGCAAATCCTACTCAACCATGCCCTCCTTGAGATGGCTTTCCTGAACTGCCCACCTAAATCACTGCCTCCTTTGGTGGGCTCTGATAACACCTGTCTCTGGTCAAGTTGCTTCCTGGCGGAGCCTGAGGCAGAGGTTCAGTGCATGTAATATATTGAGGGAGGGCTCTAAGGAGAAAAGGTGGGAGGAAGCAGGATGAGGCAGAGGAAGGAGGTAAGCTATGCTGGGTCCCCAGCCAGAATCTGACTCAGCCTGACACCACGGGGTGCTCTGGAGCTGACATTGCACACAGTGTTGGCCCACTATGAGACAAGGGGCCACCTTTCCCAGGCTGGTTGGTCTCTGGCTACAGACTGATCTACTGGGGTGGGAGATGTCACCTTCCAAGGGTCAAGCTCCAGACAAGGGAACAGCTGTGAGTCATCACAGCCAAGACCCAGCAGCTGTGGGAGGGGCAGGCCTGGGTGGGAAAGAGGACCTGGGGGGGGTGTCAGCAGCCTCCACTTCAGTTCTGCTCCCTGGTCTGGGATAACATCATCACACACGTGCAACACATGTTCTGTTCACGGGGGCAGGAACTGTGTCTGGTTTTGCTCATGCTCTCCCTCCAGAGTCTGGTTAAGCCTGTGATGAACAGATGATTATGAATGATTATGAGTCAGTGAATGACCAACAAGGAAAAATAAGGGGAGGGGAAGGTCTATGGAGAAAGATGCTTAGTTTGGACTTTAAGAAACAAGCTGAAATACCAAAAACATCAAGTGGATTGTGCCAATTAATGAAGTCATTTCAGATTAAATTCTAGAGTCACCAAAAAAACAAGAGATATTTATCAAGAAAGCATCATCAAAAAAATCAAGGGTGCCTCATGCCTGGCCAAGGGCAATTCTCTCTCCATCATATTCTTGGGTGATACCTGCTGGGGGTATCTTTCATTTTTAATATAAACTTTTAAAAAAATCACAAAATTAAGAGTCCTCCTCGGGTCAAGGAAATCAAAAAACCAAAACATTCAGAAAGGCCAGAGGAGGAAGGCTGCCAACCCGAGTGCAGCTGATGACATCAGCCTGATGTCCCTTGGCATCTGTCCCACTCTCGTGGGGACGGGTGTCACGGCCAGTGATCTCCAAAGACGATTTCTTCTGAAAGAGCCTGATGGTGAGTCGGTAAAAATCTTGATTGTTTGGAAAATTGGGCGCCATAACTTTAGAGACGGAAGAGTCTGATTTGACAGAAAGATAAGATGGTGGTGGGGTGGGGGCGGAGTTTTACACAATGTAAGAGGAAAAAGCCAAAGTTCTGGGGAACAACATTCCATCCAACATTTCCCAGAAGCTGGACATTCATCCCAGGCCCTCCCTCTGCCAAGTCACCCCCTCCGGGGCCACGGCGGGCAACACGGAAGATGGAGTCGGAGAACGCGGTCCTGCAGACACACTCAGCCTCACTCCCCTGGTCTGATCCTTGCCCTGCGCTCAGCTCTGGGAAGCCAAGAACGGCCCAGGTGTGGGGCAGAGGTCCTGTCACCCTTGAGATCAACATGTGGGAAACAGAGTCCCCACAGGGAGTGGCAAAGAGGCAGAAATAGGCAGGGCCCCTGCCACCTTCTCTAGGAAGACCTACTTCTGGGATATTTACCTACAGATGTGGTTCCAGCCTCGGGCAGCCAGGCTCTGCCACTGCACTGACCACGCGTGTCCTCAGGGCACCCACCTCTCCCCTCCTGTGCTCCATCCCCTCATGAGCGAAATAAGGAGACATGGTACCCGCCTCGCTGGAAGTCATGGGAAGGACACAGATGACATATATCCAAGCACCGGGGGCAGTGCCTGACCAGTGGTGACCAGTGAATAAAAGACAACCTCCCTCTTCTCATTGTTCATATGCGTCCCGAGCACACACGGTCACAGGGCATCATCCCAGTGGCTGGGCAAGTAACAGCCGACACGTGGCCCGTGAGTCACAATTTACAAGGCACCCTCTCATAGATTAGGGCTTCCTCAGTGGTTCAGTGGTGAAGAATCCGCCTGCTGACGCAGGAGATGTGGGTTGGATCCCTGGATCAGGAAGATGCCCTGGAGGAGGAAAGGGCAACCCACTCCAGTATTCTTGCCAGGACAATCCCATGGACAGAGGAGCCTGGTGGGCTACAGTCATAGGGTCGCAAACAGTCGGACACAACTGAGCAACTGAACACGCATATAGGTCCTCATGGATTAAAACATTCCATCTTGGCAAATACCCATCGAGGGCAGGAAGCTTGCTGTGAACATCACCCTGCAGATGGGAACACAGAGGCTCAGAGGAGACGAGACCCTCCCAAGGTCACTGAGAGAGCCAGGAGGCGGCAGAGTGGGAGCCCGACGCCCGGCCCAGGCCCTTCCCAACCTCTTCTTCTCTTGCAGCGAGAAAGGCAGCATATGGTCTGTACAGATGAAAGGAGAGGAGTGGAAATAGGGCTCAGAGGAGGAGCCGGAGCCAAATCAACATCTCCATCTGGGCTGCATGACAAAACTGAATTCCTTAAAAGTAGCAAACGGAATTGCCAGTGGGGGCCGCACATTCTATTCTGGTCCCTGGTGATAAATATCAAGCTTCTTGGTTGATAGGAAACTATTTTCCCCCTCTCGATATACAAGGAGCTTACAGTAGCAGCCACAGAAACTGAAATAATTCTTTGCTGCATATTTGCATTTTCCCCAGGAAATTCCAGCCCCAGAGCATCAGCTCTCTCTCTCTCCTGAAGGATGCGGCCCCGAGCCCTGAACCCCTCACTGGAGGCTCTCGTGAAGGACCCCGCCTGGGGAGGAAGGTCCTGGCCCCAAGCCACTGAGGGTTCTCGGAGCTCCCCAGAGAGGCCACCTCACGGCATTGGGACAGACGATAATTTCACTTTCTCAAACAACCATGGGACCAAGAAGGATCTTGCTGGAGGACATGAAAAACCCAAACTAAGCGGTTAGAAACTGGAGCTCCCTGTGTGCATTAGCAAGAAAAGGGTCATGACATGGGGTGGAGACTATCCTGTGCCCCTCTTTCAGATCCCAAACCTGAGAGAGCCAAGCTCCTGGTAGGAACAGGTTTCCCAGGGATCAGGTAAAAGCCTGGGGACCAAAAGGTTGAGTGGAGGAAGGATGTGCTTGCTTCGGTTAGCTAGCAACCTGAAAGGTCTGAGCTGGAGATGGAGGCACCAGGTGCAATTTCTTAAGTTTTTTTTTTTTTAACCAGGACTGGACCAAAGTCTATCGATCAATCAACCAACCAACCAATCAATCCATCACAAGCGCTTCTTCCCACCCACTACCCCCATCCCCCACTCAGCCGTGTCTTCCCTGGGAAACCAGTGGGCCGGCCTTTTGTTCAGACGACTTGGTCTCCACCAGGGTCCCTGGGGCAGAAGGGACAGCCCCTCCCAGTCTCTAGGTAGCTGCGGCAGCCTCTACCTTCCTGACTTGCAACCAAGTAAGAAGCCCTCAGCCTTTAAAGAGACACCCCCAGAACAGCAGCAGGCGGGGTGTGCTGGGTCCTGCCAGGGGCACTGCAGGTATCTGCAGTCTCGGTTTGGGTTCTGCCTGGAACCAGCCTGGGACAAGGCCTTGTGCTGCAGGAGTGACCAGGGGAGGCGATTATTTCATGAAGAGCAAATGAAAACGGGAAGGCAGTGAGACTCGAAGAAGGAGGTGCCAACAACCCGAGCTGCACTGCTGTCAGGAAGCCATCAGGACTCACCGTGGCTGCGGGACCTGGAGATCCTGCGTCAAAGCTGCCTCTCACCCGTCCCTCGAGAGACTGGGAGACTGTGCCTTGACCTTCTAACCTCACACCACCTCGGGAAGCTTCTTCTTCTTCTTCTTGTTATTACTCCCCTGTCACAG